AAGGAAAATGAAAAATACACAAACGGAAATAAACAAAAACGAAAAAAACAAAATGCACAATTCTATACGAACAAATGAAAAGGAAAAGAAAAACTGAAAAATTCATAAAAGTTTTTAGTCAAATAAAAATAAAATTAAACATTTATCAACTCAAGCACCAAACACTCGTCCAAGTCGCAGAAATTACTCAAAAAACAAGTCCGACTAATTGGCGGCGCAAGTCAAAAAAAAAACGGCACGTATTCCGCATGACATGCTGAAGACGGAATATTTAAATTGAAAACAAGTTCATCACAGGAGTCGCTATAAAAGTATTTTGATATGCAAAAATTGGGTGTCCTCTCCCAGTTGTGGACGAATGAAAAAAGAAAAATGGGCGGCCGATAAAAGCAGTTGGTGTTCTCGAATCGGGGAGGCAAAATTCGTGTATTTTGGCTACCGCGTTCATCGGAGAGTGAGTTATTTTTCTGAATGTGTACGTGCATTGTGATTTGCGGGATTATGGCTATATTTTCATATCGTAAAATTTTGTGCACTTTTGAGAGAATTGGCTCCCAGAAATCTCCCCAAATCTCAGGCACTGATTGGTCAGTATCGACCAATCAGATTCTCTGCATGTGGAGAATGATTTTCCCGCGCAGATTCCTAATTCGATGGCTACCTATATAAACAGAACAAAAGACGACCAACATCAGTGAGACTTCGACTGCTACTGGAATCTACGTGAGTCGAAGACATGCGCCCATCTTCTCACTCACACTCAAATTACATATTCTATCACACTTACATAATTTTCCTCTTGCACGGCAGAACTCTTCTAAAAACATTTATAACAGACCAACAACTCTTTTCAGAGAACATTGATAAACTTTTATAGTCAAAGAGAGACTACTCTCGTCTGACTCATTACATGCTTCTTTTTCTGTATATATTCTTTATTGTATATATTTGTATATATATATATATATATATATATATATATATATATATTGATACCTTTGTTTTGTCGTTTGTTCTTATATCAGTTTGGGTTCCTAAACAAAAAGTAAATAAATGTGGTGAGAGGCCTAGGCACGCTGCATCTCATTGATAACTCCGACGTTCGTTTGGAATGCCGCCACAGGATAGTACCTACGAATCGAGTTTTCGGCATTTTTTTCTGTCCCCAATATTCGAGTCTGAACTTACAGTGATTTGTTCTCTGCATTGTGGAATTCATCTGCGACAAAAATTTCCTTTGCTTTCAGAACCATTACAATTATTCCTCCTTTACTATCAGGAAATTCTATGATTAGGGAGTTTTCTTTTACGTTCGTATATAATAACTATTTACACTATTTATATTGTTCGAACTACTTGTCCTCATCTTTATTGTTATATTAACGACGTTTCGGCCGTTGTAAGCTCTGTCCTTCTTCAGGTGATATACGTTGTAATTTCGACCTGAACCCTTTATTGAGATTGAAATAATAGACAGAGAACATCATTGAAAGATGCGAAAACTTAAGAAATTAGGACATATGGTAGGCCACAAAAGCCGGCCAAGCTGAATACGATATGGGAACCAGTAATACAGAGTGCCCGAGAAAAACAATAATAACAACAAACTGTAATATGAGCTCTGGTAGAAAAAAAAAATATTTACTAAGACATTAGGTTTATAACCCAGTGGATAAAAGCGTTGGTTGAAGTAATCTAGTGAGTTGACCCAAAGATTTGTGAGTTCAATACCTGGCCACAGCAGAGGTGAACAAAAACTTAGAGAGTTACAAAAAGGGAAATAACTGAAACTCAGATATCCAGAAAAGGCATGGCATGTGGAAGTAGAGCAATCTACCCTGGTGGACGAAATAAAGGGTTCGCTGTCGAAATTCCAACGTATATCACATGAAGAAGGCCGAAACGTCATGAATTTGACGATAAAGATGATGACAACAGTCCAAACAATGTAAATAGTATAAATAGTTACAATACCTCATCTCAGAAATATAGACAGGTATACGATAGATGCTTAATGTTTTGAAGGGGAGAGTGTGCATGATTACCTTTCTGGTCAAGCATTCAATTTGTGTGGAACTGTTATGTAATATCAATCCTCATGTCCGGCAATTAAATTTTGACAGTCACCTCACAGATGAACAGAAAAGTGGAGCTAACAGAAATGTAGTTCTACAGAAGGATACTGTGAATTCCATGGGTGGAGCGCGTGAGCAAAGGAGAAAATGGAAACAAAAAGGAAACTTATACTCAGAATATTTAAGACAGCTGAAATATCTTGGACAATTAAGGAGGAAGGATGGTTTGGAGAATTTGATACTAGATATATCGATAGCAAGACCGGCAGAAGACAGAAGGGCACCTACCTGACGAAAATGATTGACGTAACTCTTCCAATACAAAACAAGCAACGTTTATAAAAAGACATAATATTTTGTAGATTTATATATTTTACAATTGAAAAGATTTTTTTAAATTTGAAGACATTCTGTTGAAATATAGTTTAACATTATCAAACACTGTTTTCCTTTTCTTTTTCTTTTCTTAAATTGCACTCTTCTTTTAACTATTATTATTATTATTATTATTATTATTATTATTTCCTTTGATTTCTGCTGGTGTATACTCATTTCTTTCCGGGTCCCGACCAGAGACCTAAGGTCATAAATGACGTCTTGCCATTTCCCATTGAGCAATTTAAATAAAGGTAAATAAAAAAATACATATTTTACATAAATAAAGCCCTTTGTAAGGTGTGAGCTGTAATCGTGAGAATATTTTTTTGTATTTCTTTAAGGCATGGGCTACTAAGAATCCCTTCAATGAGTCTATTGGAATCTTTTCCAACCAATCCGAGAGCTCTAACTACAACAGGCATTGTTGATGTTCCCATGTGCCACATTTTTTAGATTTTCATTTCAAAGTCCTTGTATTTTGATAGCTTTATGAAGATCTTCAAAGATACATTGCAGTCTGCAGGGACTACCATATCAATAAGGAGGATTTTTTTCTGTTTTTATTATTATTATTATTATTATTATTATTTACTTCATTCATTTTATTTCGTCCCAAAATAAAGGAATTAACTGGAAATTGTTTGCTTTCTTTAACGTTGAATGAAGGCAGACGATAATTTGGAATGTATGATGTCCTCTTTACGTCTTCCAACTAAAATTGGAAAACCCACTATGGAAAATGTCTGTCGTTTGCTTTTCTAATCTGGTGGAGTTTTGCAATCTGCATTGATACGATACGTGTCCCCTCAGCGACTGCGTGTCGACTGACAAAGAGCTATGTGTGCATCCCGTTTATATGAGAGATGTAGACAAAAGCAATAAACTTCAACGACCTTTTTTGAAAACCACAATGTTCAATTTCATTATCACTCATCTTGCAAACTGGATCCATTGATTATTTTTCTTCTTCCCTAAGAAATGTTGAATATCTTTCCTCGACTTAATACTTTTTCTTCTGTTTAAACAATAAATCACTGGCGCTCCACATGCGGCTCGGTTCTATCCACTTTCCCAATAGACTCAAGACGGGCCACTTAATATATTTACTTATCAGCACCAAGAGAAGAGAAGGTTCTTGTGTCTGTTAGGACAATAGCACTTAACCCAAATGAAATTTTGGATTATGGACCACGACATAACTTTCAGCAGTTTTGTATTGATAACGAAACATATGGCCTTTACCGGGAGTATAAACATATCGAACGTGGATTGGTTGGAGTAGAAAGTGATCTGTATTGATTGATCTTACCGAAGTATATCTAGTTTAGTACTACGTTAGAAACTGGAAATTATTTTTGATGTGGCTGCCTATAAACTAACATGGACATTCAAAGAAACTTGTTATTCAATCTCCAGTGATAGCTGTTATATAGGGATAAAGTGTCGTTGCCAACACTCGAGTTTGAACACAGATCACCAATGAATAAACACAGTCGATTCCATTTCTAATAAGTAAACCACGTAATCGTAAAGAAAAGGTATATATGGGAATTAGCGTGGCGTCTAAGTGATTGCTATCCTCTATACTATTTCTCTGTACTGATCACTGTACGGATTACTATTCGGCGATTACTATTCAAACTAGTATTGTTAGTGCGATTATTATTCATGGGAGTTACTAATAGTATCTGCGATTACAAAGTCTCGACTACAACGAGAATTACGAATGTGATCACGGGCATTCGTTGACGTCAAAAAAATGACAACGCGAAGGCGTCTGATATCATAAAAATAACCAAAAAGTATCGGGAATGAACATGCAAAAGTATTATTATTATTATTATTATTATTATTATTATTATTATTATGTTATTTCCTTTGATTTTTGTTGTATACTTATTTCTTTCCAACCAGAAACCTAAGATCAGAAATGGCATCATGCCATTTTCCACTAAGATCACAATCATTTTACATAGATAAAGCTCTGCGTGATGTGTGAGCTGTACTTGTAATTACATTTTTTTTTTTTTTTATTTCTTTACGGCTTGGACTACCGGGATTCCTTCACTGAGTCTATTGGAACCTTTTCCAATCAAACTGAGGGCTCCAAATACAACTGGAATTGTTAATGTCCTCATTTTCCGCATTTTTGAGATTTCGATTTCGTAATCGTTGTACTTTGATAGTTTTTTGAAGATCTTCAACGATACATTAAAAACCTACACTGAAAAAATCGGTAGAAAGCCTCGTATCTCATCGCTTCAGAAATGTGTTACTTGACACTATAAATATTCCACAAAAGTTTCTCTTGATGGTGAACAAAGTTACTGTAAAATGTCCGCTTCAATACGAAAACTGTGCGAACATGGAGAATAATAAAAATTGGTCTCTTTTGATTCATCATTGCCCTTGACTATTCAATGAAACTCACAACTACATATGAGAAGAGTATTGGTTTTATCTTAAACATAACAAGTAATTATCAATAGCTTGAAATCACAGGCACTGCTTTTGCAGATGATCTAGCTCTTGTATCCAAACAAAGTTTTACGGCCACATCACGTTGGAACACCGGTTCCCATACGACCACCGAAATTAAGCAACGTCGAGCCCGGTTAGTACCTAGATGAATGACCACTTGGAAATACCAGATATATTAAGCTTGGATGTGTGGGTGGTGTAATGGATATTGGTTCGAAATTGTTAATTGGAGAGCCGAGTTTCAATTCCAGTTTGGTTTGTTATATTCACTTAGGCCCAAATACCCTTGGGAAAGTTATGAATCAAACTCTTCTAGACTTATATCACTAAAATATTATTATCTTCAAAGAAAAAATTCTGTCAATCTAAAAATATTTTTTGGCTTTAAATAACTTTCAAAGGGTTGATAAACCGTAAAAAATGAATCAATGAATCTTGAACAAGCAGAAATATTAGAATCCTCCGACAGGAATCGAACCTCTATCCTGTACGGAACTGTCATATAGCCTGCCGTGCCTTAACCGATTGAGGATCTTTCGGTTAGCAAAGTCGATTTTACAGCTTTTAAACTACAATCTTCCACGAATCTCTCACGTACATTAACATCTGTTCAATACGTATCGAAATATAAACAAATGACGTCACACATTATGAAATGGACAAAGTTCAACAATTGTTTTTAAGACATTTTATGTTTATACATTTTTTTTATAGATAAAAATATTTAAGTAAATGCTCTGTTTATAATAAACAGTATTAATAACATTTACCGGCCTGAATGTCCGAGAAATTATCATAAAAAATATGAGAGGATGTATATTTTCTATGAAAATTTCTCGGCTGGTAAATGTTGTTAATACTGTTTATTATAAACATTTACTTAAATATTTGTATCTATAAAAAGAATGTATAAACAAAAAATGTCTTAAAATAATTGTCGGACTTTGTCTATTTCATAATACTCGATATCTAAATTGATTCATTCAGTTCTTGCTTGTCAAAAACAAACACGAATAATATGGAGTTAAATAATAAAAATAATTGAGCCACTTGTTGCAAAATAACATTTTGCGATCTACAATAAATTCTTGCATTGATAAACGGTTAAACACTATAAAAATAATTATTGCTTTTAAGACTGACATATTTGATGGAAGTGAGAGAAAAATGAAAGAAAGAAACTATACACTTACCGTGAATGTTAATTCGAGAACTATAAAAAGAAGAAAAAACGGCTGACTAGTTTTCGTTCCTCTCTCTTAAGATATCGAGCGAGGAAATGAAACTAATGTGTATCATGTCTTTCGGATTTTCAGTCATACGTGATCGATTTAAAACAAGACATTATCCCTCTCATGGCCACTATTTTAAACCAGTCACGTTCGGGCTTTTATTTGAAAGGTTCAGAGACAATATTTATTAACTCTCTGTAGCCTTCGTTTTTCAAACAGATGGCAATGGTCGTTAGATCTTAGCGTAATCGGTTTGGGATATAAATATATATATATATATATATATATATATATATTAACTCTCCTGTCGTGTGTGTGTGTGTATATATATATATATATAATATATATATATATATATATATATATATATATATATATTAAGTAATTCATCGTGTATAGAAGTAACCTCAACAGAATGCAGAAAACACTGAACGGCCGTTTCGTCGTATATTTGGGGCTCATCAACAGTGCGCATCCTCTACCGAGAATTGAAACCCGGACAGTTACGTTATCAGGCAAAGGTCATACCATACCAACGGCCCTCGGTGACGAAGAGGTAGTCAATTAAACTCGATATAGCGCTTCTCAATCACATATTCCGTAGTGGAACTCATCCGAGTTCCTCTTTTACTCATAGGACTGTGCTCACACGAGCCACTACTACTATCCCCAAGCCGCTCCATCCAGAGCATTAGAAGCCGGTTCAAGTACGGATATACATACATATAGGAGGATTTGAGATAATTATAATTAAGTAATACTTAATTATAATTATCTCAAATCCTCCTAATTTCTATCACACACACACATACACTCATACACACACGCACGCACACACACACATATATATATATATATATATATATATATATATAAAGACTTATACCCACAGAAGAAAAAAGAGAGAGGCTGTCATTTTACCTTGAGAAGACCCTTTCGGCCAACACTTTATCAAAAGGAGAACGTTAGCACAGAGGAATAAATTAATCAATGACACGCTTGTAAATAGCGAGTGAGGAGGGAACATTTTCTCTCCTCATTCGCTATTTACAAGTGGACATTGAGCTCAACTTCCAGCGGCGACGAGTTTGTTTCATGCCTAAACGCAATCTTAAGTTAATCTTCGTTACCACACACCCAATAACCGTTAGATTAATACAATAGACTTTCTACCCATAATGCACCATTGACCAGCATATTTAAACAGTCAAGCTGAAACACGGCATATGTGGCCTGAAGATTGCGTTTAAGTATGAAGCAGACTGTTGGCATTCGCCAATGTCGCCAGTGTCCACTTATATATTTACATACGCTCTGTGAACTCTGTTCTTGATACTGAGCGCTTTAACTGATAAAATTTTACATACCTAAAACTATATTTTTATCATATATATATATATATATATATATATATATATATATATATATATATATATAATTGAAGTCAACACTCAGAGACGACAGGCTGTTTCATGCTGGACGCAATCGTCAGGCATTAAACTATTAAATATAGTTTTAAGGTGTGCTATATTTATGGGATAAAGTGATCAATATCAGATTGCCTGACGATAAAACTGGATAACTAAAATGGCATGTACTTGCTTTTTGATTGTCTACTATTTTAATAATATTACTATTTTATTCTGAAGGTAAAATGATGAAAGCAAAATGGGAAATTGAAAAAGATCTTTCTGAGTATAAAAAGAAACAATTTGTTAAGCTTTTTAAACTAACTGCTGTAGCAGTTTATCCAAAACCTGTTGAGCAACAAAATGTTTGCCATGGTTTAAAAGCTTGTTTTTTTTTTTGTTTTGTTTTGTTCTTTTTTGGGGGGTGATCCAATTGTAGCTGCCATTAAAATACGCCCTTTATTAAATGAGGAGGATACTGCAGAAACAGTTAATTTAATTGAAAAAGCATTTCATAATGTCATTGATAAATTTCATATTGAAAAACTAAAACAACTTCTCAAATTAAATGTTTGTGTCGAAGAATACAACTTTGATCCAGAGCATAATTGCTCTGTGGACATTTGCTGGATGAAATGGGATGCCAAACATTTGATAATTTACATGACTTTGAATTTAGCTATTCCAATATGCCTTCGGATTTCAGAGTCGCAATTTCTCTGTTATGACACGTCCTACATAATTAAAATGTTTGTTCTTCTTTAAATTTGACATCTCCAATTGGTAAATCGCATATTGGAATGTTTCTTTTACTGACAGCAGTACCATTCTGTCTTCTTATAATTTGTAATTTTTCGTTTTCTTTCATTACCTTCTGTAGATGTTCATGTAGTTTCTTTTATATGTCTGCTATCAACACTGTGTCATCTGCATATCTAATTTAATCAGGATAGCTCCACAATTACAAAGACGATAATTATGAAATGGACAAAGTCCGACAATTATTTTAAGACATTTTTGTGTTTATACATTCTTTTTTATAGATACAAATATTTAAGTAAATGCTCTGTTTATAATAAACAGTATTAACAACATTTACCGGACTGAATGTCCGAGAAATTGTCACAGAAAATATGCGTCCTCCGACAGGAATCGAACCTTTATCCTATACAGAACCGTCACATAGCCTGATGTGCTTTTATCGATTTCGCCACAGAGAAGCGTTCGGTTAGCAAGGTCGATTTTACTCTTTTTAAACTACAGTCTTCCATGATTCTCCCACGTACATTCATATCTGCTCGATGCGTATCCAAATGTAAACAAATGATGACGCACATTATGAAATGGACAAAGTCCGACAATTATTTAAGACATTCAAGCTGGTAAATGTTGTTAATACTGTTTATTATAAACAGAGCATTTACTTAAATATTTGTATCTATAAAAAAGAATGTATAAACATAAAAATGTCTTTAAAAAAGATAATGTTAATACACATGACAAGGAAAACGAGACTGAACTGGTAACAGCGACGATGATGAAGAAATGGTTGTAGGTAACATTATTATTTGTAAAACAAATACAGTAACTTAAACTAAAGTAAACCATCAATAAATATATACAATTTTGGGGATGCTGGAAGGAATTGGATAATTGTATCCAAGTCGTGGCATAAAATGGTTTTAAATGATGCATATTTTTTGAGTTATGAAATTCTATCCTAGTCTTTTGTCCAGTGTTTTATATTTTTCCGATCAGCGGATGGGAAGTTTAACAAAAGACGCCCCTCTGATAGAAAAATAAAACTATAAATTAAAAAAACAAAAATAGAAGAGGAATGTGAAGAAACTTATAGAAAGTATTTATTCCAGAAAATAAATAAATAAAGAAAGAAAGAAAGAAAGAAAGAAAGGGGTAAGAAGAAAAGGCAAAGAAAGAAAGAAAGAAAGAAAGAAAGAAAGAAAGAAAGAAAGACAGATAGACAGAAAAGAACTTATCAAAAGAAAGAAACAAAGATATGGAAAGAAAGAAACAAAGAAAGAAAGAATACTGCACAAAATCTTGTGGAATTTTCTTAAAAAGAACTTCCTGATTTTTTCTCCTCTGCCTCTTCATAGAAATATTTTCATGTGCCCATGGTTCAACGCATCCAATTCTCCTCGACTGGACACGTTTGTTACTTTCCTTTTTATTCGCTTATTTGTATCTGAATTTTGACATTTTTTTTTTTGATCATTTATTTTTTTACTTTTTTATTTTCTTTGTGCGTTCTCTTTTCTTTTCTTTGTTTAACAGCAAACGCGCTCGAAGTATTACGTTACATAGAATTGGCAGGCAGGAAATTTCCATTGAGTTTAAGGAGACGATGTTTGGTAAAATGATATTTCGATAAATAGAAAAAAAATCATTCGGAATAATTTTTATATTCTTTTCTCCTCAAGTTTTACTATTACGGCCTTTTTCTGTTATTTCTTCAATAGATAGATAGATAGATAGATAGATAGATAGATAGATAGATAGATAGATATACAAACTGAGATAGATAGATAGATAGATAGATAGATAGATAGATAGATAGATAGATAGATAGATTGGGAATGGTAATAATAGAGAGATAGATAATTGCCCTTGCAAACAACATAAGCATAAAATTTCAGCCTACATCATTTTACTTGAGTCTTTTTTTCAAGGTAGTGTGCACCATATTTACACACACACACACACACACACACACATATATATATATATATACCCGCCTTTTGATGAATGTGTATATACATATATATACGCATATAATAAATCATATCCACCACCTTGTATAAAGTCTCAAGTAAAATGTAGTTTATAAAAGTTATAAATATATATAAGCAATATTCATATATATATATATATATATATATATATATATATATATATATATATATATATATATATATATATATATATATCAAAGTTATTACATGACATCGTATAATGAAACTGAATGAATTGTTATTTTTAACTTTGTCATTATTTTCAGTCAAAAGACTTAAATCTAAAATAAAAGCCATATAAATGACCGCTTCCAGAGCAAAGAGCATTAATAAATAATTTTCTTCGTGTCGAAATGTAATAGTAATGTACTGTTCCATGTTTACATTGCAATCTTAACGGACTTCATTCACACACGCATAAGTTGCAATAATTACAAGAGTACATGCTTCTTTATGTTCCAAGTTTTATCGAAAATAACAAATCGAAAATAACAAATCGAAAATAACAAATCGAAAATCTGTCTATTATATCAAATATAAATTATCCTCTGATTTATATTTGAACAAACTAAAGTTGCTTATTTTCTCAATGAAAATCCCTGAATAATAAAGATGTCTTTTCTTTTATGTACTGTGTCCCTTTAAAAGATGGACGACCATTGATCTCCTTTCAAACTCTAACCTCTGCTTGTCTCCCTATTATCATCCCAAGTCCTTGTTCTGCCATCCATTTACAAAAACTCGTTAGGCAAGTTACTCTATGTTCTCCTCTCCGTCCTCTACAACATGTAAAATCACAAACCATTACTAACTTTTTTTAATAGGGTCTGCAGAAGGTGTCGATTTATGACTTCTCTTATACCCATCTTTTCCGCCCCCAGCTATGGGTTAATTAGTGAGTTGACTGTGTTCACGTCCTTCGATGTGAAAAACCGATGGAGGACACATGGCACAGTGGATAAAGGTGTTAGTTAGATCCAGTGACAGGATAACTGACATCCATTAAACATGGCACGTGGAACTATAACAGTCTACCCAAGTGAGCGAAATAAAGGGTTCAATTCGACATTCCAATCACCGTACAACGGCCGAAACGTTGTAATAAATATGGCGACAAAGGTGAGGACAATATTCCGAGTAATGTAAATAATGTACCAGTGGAGGAGAAGGACAAACTTTGAAGTCAAAACCAACCTGAAAAAGGATGTGATCTGTCAGGCTATATTGCCTTAGACACAACACTGTTGCCGTGGCTTTGTCCCTAAGACCGTAATGACTTACAGAACTCGCTACATGCCGTGGCATTTCAAAGGGAGAGAACCCCGTAAACCCGCTAATTAATCAGTAGTTGAGGGGGGTAGATGCGATCGATTCATACCTTCCCCAAGGGCATTAGTGCAAAAGTCAACGTCCCAGTTAATTCCTCTTTCCGAATGGCTAGCCTTCACACTACCCGTATCTATATCTACCTATAATGCCAGCTACTTGGACAAACTTTGATAAAAGAATCGATGAAGCTCTCTTAGATTTCCTAATGTTGCACTTGTTATGCGTTTCAGATTTAACATCGTGGTTAGAATTAGAAAGAAAAGTTAGAATAGCTAGTTATAGGAGGTAAAACGCGTCCTCGCTCGACAAGTACAACTTTCGGGGAGGAAATCAGTCTAAATTTGATTTTCTTTAGATAATAATGCTTTAGTGTTACGATTCCTACTAATCAACCCACAGCTAGAGGGAGAAGAGGTGAATTCATACATATACCTTGTCCAATGATATTTGCGCGTAAGTGAATATAATGTACCCAACAGTAATTGAAAGTTGAATCGCCAATTAACAATTGAAGCCATTACACCACCTACACATCCAAGCTAACATCATCTGGTATTTCTAAGCAGTCACATATCTAGGTACTGACTAATCTCAACGTTGCTTGGCTTCGGTGATCATAAGAATTAAGATAGATAGATAGATAGATAGATAGATAGATAGATAGATAATCAGGTGTGGCATAATCAGACGGACATGAATCATAGGTTTGGATAGATAGATAGATAGATAGATAGATAATCAGGTGTACCATAATCAGACGGACATAAATCATAGGTTTTAGATAGATAGATAGATAGATAGATAGATAGATAATAGATACCATAATCAGACGGACATAAATCATAAGTTTAGATAGATAGATAGATAGATAGATAGATAGATAGATATGAAATGATATGAACAGGCGGACACAAATAACAGGTTTGAATATATATATAGATAGATAGAAAATCTGCTCCTGGGACCTGCTTAAAAATTAAAAGTTGCATATTTTACACCACTGTTCAGTGTTCAAGCCCAAGTACAAACAGGTCTGGATGTCGTTTTAAATTTAATTCTCAATTGGCGTAACACGAATTTTTGTACTCTCTTTTTCTGTGTCATTGTACAAGTTGAAATTTGCTCATTTAAGTAAATCTCTCTATTGAAATCCATTATTCCTGTCTGCAGATTTGAAGATAAGAAATACTGACACGATATCGTTCAATATAGCGTTTCATTCATTTGATAGAACCTCATTACTTCGAAATGACAGTCTGGTCATTAAACCGAATTACTGGGTAATCATCTTTTGACATTTTGATGGAATCTCTCATAGTCCAATTAAATGTAATAAGCTAAAATTAACCCAGTTATTAATGATATGTGAGTTACATATATATATATATATATATATATATATATATATATATATATATATATATATATATATATAAGAGTTTTACGTATATATATTTGCATGTGTGTGTGTTTGCTTGCAATAAGATCTATACATAAGAAATAACTTATGAATGTAATATGTTGACTTGTATATAGTGATTTTACAAGCGTAAGCTTAGATGCGGCGCAAGGCCGAAAGTATAGGGCACCCAGTGAGGATCGAACTCATTATATATATATATATATATATATATATATATATATATATATATATATATATATATACGTACGTACATACACATACAAATATATGTAAAAATTTCTAAGAGAATAGAATCCAGGTAGAACTCAATATCCAGGACAGAGTAAGAATATAATAAAAAAGGCTTAAACACTAATATTCCATGGTTATAATTTATTACAATGGAATCGTAATTACGATTCAATTCATCAGACCTACAAATTCAAAAAGAAATCAGAAAAAATAACTCCGGGAATAAAAAATAAAATTTAGTGAGAGTTTATGTATGAGAGTGGGGGACGGATGTGGGAGGTAAATGAAAGCTTTAGAGAGGGGTAACAGACGAGAGAAGAACAAGAAGGCCTAAAAGTCAAGGTGGGGATTAAAATTAAACAGAGAGAAGTTTTAAAGAGAGGAGTTGAAATGACGGTTTCAATGAGTGAGATACAGATAAATATGAATTATTTTCCGATGCATAATTCATTACTAAATCGCTGACCTAAGTTAAATTAAAAACCGACACCGGAAATGGGTGAATACATTTGTGGTGACACTACGCACAATACAATAAAAGACGATATAAGCTAAACTTAAAAATCAGAAGATGAGAGAGAAAAGAAAAGAAAAAATGTGGAAGTTGGGGGGGAAACCGAAGGGCATTTATGGGGCGACTATTTCAAATACGAAATATATATATATATATTACTTTAAACGTTATTATATTGGACATTTCATATTTGAAATAGACTCCCCATTTTTATTTATTAAACAGAGTGTGTTACGTCTACCGGCCTACGCATTCGAGAAATCTTAATAAAGGAAATGTTTTCTTCGGCAATCATCGCATCCTATCGCTGTGAGACAAACATTTTCTACTTGAGAATGTCCAGACATTTTATAACTCCTGCTTTCTATAGACGCAGACCATAGTAGTTTGGCTTAGTTATTTTTGTTTCACAGCATATCAACACTTCTATGGTGTCGAAATCTAAATATTTTGGACACAACTTTTTTTTTAGATAATATTGATTATTTGAGATAATATTGATTCAGTGATACGAGCTTTACTAATTAACCCATTGCTGGGAGGGGAGAAGAGGTGGGCCCATGCAATTCCCAAAAGAATGAGAGATTGAGTATGGATAGGAATCCTATAAAATGATGTGATAAAAACAAGTAGGAAACAGATCGTAATCGAACATGTTTTACTTTATTTAAGATTCGTCAGAGATTAAGATAGAAATGATAAAAATGATAAAAAGCAGAGATGCAGATTAATGGAATACTGTGTTTGGTTATTTCTTATTGGTTAGATACGTGTCACGTGTAATAAAGTAATAGATAATATTCAAATATATTTGAGAAACATTCTGAGCCCTAAAGTCTGTAAAAGTATACATACATGCACACACACACACACACACACACATATATATATATAAGTTTAATGTGTTTTTATATATATATATATATATATATATATATATATAAGTATAATGTGTTTATATATATATATATATATATATATATATATATATGCAATTTTTATATATATTATTTATAAATTATATATGCGCGGTACTTATTGGAAAACGCTCAATATCAGTGATAGTTAACATATTTAGTTGCGTTGATTTGAGTTTGCGATCCTGGGTTTTATGCCCTTTGCTATTGTCAAACATACATACATATATATATATATATATATGTGTGTGTGTGTGTGTGTGTGTGTGTGTGTGTGCGCACGCGCGTGTGGGTGCGTGTGTGTGTGTGTGTATAAGTGAATGCATCTATTATTTTATATGAATATAGAAACGCTTAGAAACTAGATTATATCTTTACTGTAACCTTTTGGAAACCGGTACGTGGTAATTTAATTTCGTTTTGCTTCGAAACGGGATTAAACCAATTTTTGCCTGTGTGTGCGTCTGTGTGTCTATCTTTGTATCTCTATGGCTCTGTGTCTTTCTCTCTGTTCGTGCTTTCGTTTGTGTGTTTGTGTATATGTGTTTGTGTGTGTGTGTTGTCTCAATGACATTTAGCACATTCTATACTGTCGACGTATGTGTATATTTTCAAGGATCTTTGAAATGTCGGTACCTAGCGATTGTATTATAAACTATCACTTTGTGCAATTTCCAGACCAGCATAGACATATAGTAGTCTATGTTCCAACGTAACGAATCAAAACGAAAATATCGGTGCCTATAATAAATCACCGTAACTTTCTGTATGGCTATTTACTGCAAATAAATGACAATTTCCTATTTTTCACAAAATGGGCCAAGTGACAATGCTATAAAAATTCTGTAACAATGCAGCAGTAAAAGTGTGAAGCAGTTTATGTGCAGTTTACACCTTTCATTATAGGACTGTGAATCGATTTGAATTGAAACCTTTTTCATCCAGTCCCCATCATGTTAATTCTCACTTGAACAGACATAAGCGAATTTATTTGATTTCTACCTGTTAAATAAATGCTTTCATTTTGAAACATTAAATTTCTCCTAAGTAGCGTGAAAATTTACTTTTGAAATTGAAATAATGGTTGACATTTTTATCAAACGCCTTCTGTCTATGCTTCTGGAACTAACTAGAATCCGTACCAGTCATATGCATTTCTGTATCAAATATCAATTGGAATATAACAATTGTGGCCTCAAAACTACATCTAGCAAAGAACAAATTCCTTCATATTTGTTTGCTGGGCAAAACGTCACCTCTACAATATAACCGAAGCATTAGTTTAGATAAATATGTATTTTATATATAAATTGATATTAATCGGAAAGTAATATTGTAGCTTTTTGCTCTTGTCTGTAACTGTTTACTGAGCATAAATAAGGTGTTCTGAATTCAAAAGAACAATTTCGAGGTTCAAAATAATGCATTTGATATTTGTAAAGTTATAAATTGATCATTGTGTGTGGGTTGCTTTAGACCAATTGTTGACCTTTTTTTTTCATATTTATCCGACCTCAGTCAAGATTATACATAACAAAAACCGACAACGTATTTTTTATATCATTTCACCCCAAGCAAGGCAATGAAACCTCAAATACGCAAGAGTTTACTGAACATGAAAGAATATATGAGAAAAAATCATTATTAAAGAGAGAGAACCATAAAAGAAGATGAATTAAGAATACAGAAGATAACGGTAGACATTGCATTTAATTTTTTAAGGATCAAAATTGGTTGGAAAGCAAGAGGTCGGAAGTCAGTTCCACAAGTCAGAAGTGCGACAGGATAAACAGTTAGCATAGAACGTATGGTTACATCTAGCCATTTCAAGTGTAAAATGATGAAACCTTGCCACTAGTCTAATACTGTGCTTAAATTCATAAAGTATAGGTACTAAAGAGGAAAGCTCATCAAAAACAATTACCATGAAAATATTTATAGAAAAGGCACAGCGAAGCTACATTAAAGTTATAGAAAAGTGACTCGAGAGTTCCTCTTTGCGACTACTCGGTCTCACATTGTCTACTGACCTGAAAGGGAAAAAATATTGAGTCAATAGCTTCGTCCACCGCAAAGGAAGTTGGTTTCCTGTGCCGCGCCAGGAAATTTTTCTCGACGGAGTCGATCCTTCAAATCTACAAATCAACCATTCGCCCTTTCATGGAGTATTGCTGCCATAAGTGGTCCGGTTCCCCTTCTGTTTGTCTCAAGGTTCTTGATAAGATCCAAAGACGGATATGCAATGTAATTGGCCTTGATCTGGCATCTCGTCTGCAGTCGCTCTCTCACAGACGTGCCGTCGTCTCCCTCTGTCTTTTTTACAAATACTTATATGTAGTATTGTCGGAAAAGCATCCATGGCGGTTTGTCTGTGTTTACTACGGACAAACTGTTATGGCTGCTTTTGCGAGACTGGTTGTCAACTATGGCTATTGCCTGCCCCACACTTTATTGCAAATTGACAATGAAGTTTGGAGCAAACAATAGCAATAACAGAAAACATTTACTTGACTCTACCAAAAAGAAACCTTTGCGAAGTTTGATCTAAGCTCTTAATATTATATATGAAGCGCCTAATGCTGATTCATTTAGTCTCCTACCGGAAAGATATGTATCACAGGCTCTTTTGTAATGTATTTAATGTTCCCTTGCATTCCAACCTGAAGAAGCTGAACCTAACACAAGTCGGCGAAACGCGTCGTTAAAAAAAGCTTTTCCATTTTTAAATATACATATATATATATATATATATATATATATATATATATATATATATATAAGTGAACATTGAAGTCACCACTTAGAGGCGACTGTCGCCTCTAAATGTTGACGTCAATATTCACTTTTATATTTACACACGTTCTATCTGATATTGAGCGCTTT